ATTCAGGACTTTTTGATGAGATCCAGGAGCTTATAATTACAGGTCAGTAAAATCTGTTTTAAATCACCCATTACAATCAGGAACAGGAAAGAACAGGGATTAAAGTGCATAACTAATTAAAGTTGTTAAACAGTTAAACTATTTTTAAGGGTGTTTTTTTTTCATTCTGGTATTTGGTTCTTTCCTCACCAAAACCTTACGGGAGATTTTTTTTTTTTTTCAATATGGATGATAAGTGTAACACTGTCTCACCAAAGCATAATTAGAAATGTTTTAGTTTTTTTTAAGAAACCACAGGGCGTGAATACAACTTCTAAAAATATTTAAGAAAAAACAAACAAACAAAAAAAAAATACATCCCACACAAACACGCAACAAACGTTTTATAATTACACAAGAACCAGAAGGAAACTAAACTGAATTGCTGCCTCCCCCCCCTCTGTTTTTCATTCACAGAAGAAAAAAGAAGCACCAACATACTGAATATTATCGTCATAGCTGCTGTCCCTTCTGTATGTTTCCTAATATTAATATGTGCTTTGGTCATTCTGAAACAAAGAAAAAAGTAAGTGCTTACTGTTGGAGTTTTGATCATGACAACAACGTCTTCCTGGATCGAAACTGAATTTCTATCTCTTTCACAGGAACAGATCTCCTTCAGAAATACGGGTAAATATAACCTTACAACTTATTAGTCATGTTTTACTCACTTTTAGGAACCAAAGTGTCCGGCACATTGTTTGCTCAATACTTCAGGAGAAACAGTGATTAAAGGAAGATGGTGTCACTTTGTACAATTCTTGTGCAACCTCCAAATAATTTATTTGTAAGTTTGCAAAAGGAAAACAATACTTGTATTATAAAAGGATAATATATGTTTTCCAGTCAATAAGCAAATCTTTACTTTGAGAAAAAGAGGGAAATATGAAGCTGAGTGCTTAGAATACATTACAATTTAAGGTGGGACATGGATTTCATAGCAGATAGTGAGAGATTTTACGAGCAGATTTTTTTCGTTCTTAATCATTTTAGGTCATCAAACCAGTCCCATCAGACAAGGTTAACTGGAGTAAATGCAAAATGTAGATTTCAAATGATGATTTTATCTATAAGTGCAAAGATGCGCTCCTCGCCAACCTGGCCTTGTTAAAATACTACGGACCTTGTTAAATTATGAAGTTACTATTGAGCATATTTCGCTTTCCACACCCATACCTACAGCCAGAGCTGCAGAATCAAGAAGTCCTTTAAATAAAACCTGTCTGACAAAAGGAAGTAGGCTAAAAGATTTTAAATAGCACGGCATACTGCCCCCATCAAAAGAGTTTTAAGAACAGATGAGAAGCAAAGTCTTTGACGTTAATTTATCTGCATTGGGTTTGCGTAAACATGAAACCTTTGAACCTTCTTAGGAATGGGGAGTCTGCAATAATTACTTAAACACTGGCTCATTCAGGAGATTACGCAAACATCTATAACGCTGCTGTCCTCCCTTGGCAAGAAAAGTTCAAAGAGTGCAAAGATTAATCTCAGATTAGCCTGAAAGCATCTTGATGACGACTAAAATTTTGGGGAAATTATTCGGTTGACTGACTAGAGCTACGTAGAACATTTTGGAAGATGTGCAACCTGCTATATCTGGTGTAATACCAGCAAACGTTTCAAAAACAGAACAGCATGCTGACTTTTATAGTGGTTTAAATGTGGTGATCTGAACCCTTTTGCTGCTTTATCATTCATAATTGATGAAAACAAGGATTCTGACTTCAAGCTAAAACTCCCAAAATTCTCAGTAAGTGAGAATATCCAGCTGACTTACTGGCTGAACTGAAACAGCTCTGTTATTAGGTCTGGATGCTTCCTTGTATAGAAAACCAAGTTGTTGTAGATTGCTTTTTTTTTTTTTTTTTTTTTTTACAAAAAAAAATTTTTTTTGAAATAGATTACAAATTCCATTTAATCTGTAATTTGAACTACTTAGGTTACCATTGTCTGATTAAAGCATTTGTAAAGGAGACATTACGTTTTTCTTGACCACCTAAAGCTGAATCATCTGACATCTGTTTTGTTCCTCTTTTTACAGCAGCAAAAGCAAGTGGAAGATATTTATGAAAACCATTTGGAAATTCAGCGCCGCCAAGCTTACCTTAACAAACCCTGATGTTGCTGCTGTTTACACTGCTGTCAGTAGAACGGCCCGAGGGACACGTGTTCTGAAGCCACCATCTGCTCTTAAATGCCCTCTTTATGGTGATAGCTATGACTCTCTGGCGAGGAAATGTGATATTTGTTTTTCCCAGGTTAAACAGAACAGGCTTCAGTATACCACGCCGTTCGCTCTGCGGCTTATATCAGTCATTGCTTTCCACAAGTATTTAAATTCATCACACTTTTTGGACTTTACATTACACAGGTTCTCTTTTCTTCCTAGTCAAAAGGGGTTTGTTATAAACCATGACCACTGAGTATTTTTGGATTTCACTAAAACCAGTGTTACCACTTCTCATCATCCTTTAAGCTTGGACTGAAACACAGCACACTCTGTAACCTTGGTGCAATAACTCTTGACACACTGGAAAATAGAAGATGTCAATGTCCTGCAGCAACATTCCCTCCTAAATGCCAGTCAAATATATAATTTTATCATTGACTGGGCAGATGTTACATCCAGTCAAACGATGCACAGTAATGCAGAGTAAGCCAGACAGTGTGGGTGTTAAAGACAAAAACACCCACACTGTTAAGGTGCAAACCAGGACCAGCGGTGGTTTTAAGATTTTCATTTATAACCAAACAATGCAGCATTTTCTTCCTGCTTCACATTTGTGCACTACTTTGTGTTGGTCTGTCACATATTAAAGGCTGTGACCTAAACTGTTCAAAGGTCGTGAATGCTTTCACAAATCAATGTGGAGTATAAAACAAGGAACCCTTTCAACAGCACAAAAATCCAGCTTATGAAACATAATTCCTACGTGTGCAGGTGAGGCCTCCTTTAACTCCATACAGCTGTCATAACAAGGAAACGAGTGGGCATTTCTGCTGAAGGACGTAATGCGTCACTGTAGCAGATATTAAGAGAGTTCAATGGAAATTTTTGAAATAAAATGTAACCGCCCTTCAAACTGTACCAGTCAAATTATTTTTAGTTATTTCCTTTTCTACAGGTATGAGATTGAACAAAGCAGAGGTATCAGAGTACAAAGAGTTGATGAAAGTTCTGTTTAATCAACAAAGACAGTGGGTTTATCTTTTAGGTTGTTGGTTGAAATGACGTTCCAGACAAAGACACATGGAATTAAAAAGAAGCTGATAGAAAACATTTATTTTGGAAAGCGGTACAAATAAAGTTAAAAGGCTCAATCACTGTCAGAACTGAAGCATTCTTTCATAACCTAACCTTGTTACAATCCCTATTTTTCCTTTTTCTGTCAACACACACCCCATACCAGACATATCTGGAAAACATTCAGAGGAAAATCTCATAACTTGTCCTGTGACCATGACAGCAAAGCTTGTGATGGCTTCCTCCCATGACTGTCAGTTGCTCAGTTGTGCGACTGATAGTTGCACAACTGAGCGCCTTCAATATTTAGACAGTTCGCCTACTTCACACTCGGTCAGCTGAAGCTCTCTCGTTATATACGTCTGTTCTCAAAGGGGTTGGGTGTTAAAAACAACAAAACGGAGGCAAGGGTCTGTTTTTAGGTCTGCCATTAATAAAGAAGGAAGCTACAAATACCAACACCTACAACAGAAAATAAGACAAGCCAAAGAACAAGTAAATGCAAACTCATGAAACGGAATAAAAATCAAAAAGCTGGAGCAGAATGAAAATTGTACAGCAAGATATGAGGGACAAAAAAATGATTACAAATGTTTATTTTTTTCTTCTCGCAGCTAATAAATAGAAAAACAAATATGAACAATGATATCATGTGTTTCTTAAGAATATTTCTTGCCTTGCTTACTAAAGATTGCAAAAGAAAAAACAACATGTCTACACATATATTTAGACATGATTTGAAACAGCAAAATGTCAGAACAAAACAGAAAGAAAGCAGAGAAAGTAGATTTTGCATGTTCCCATTTTTGCCCGAGGCTGAACAAAATCTATAAACTTAGAATGTAGGTTTATAACTTGGTGTTTAAAGAACACCAAGTTTTAAACACTGTAAGTGTAAATTGTTTTTCTACACACAGATCACACATTTATAAAACAAAAAATGAAGATCATACAACTTTGTCTCTTTGAAGTGGAACCAGATTTAGTTATAAGGCACTTGAATAAATTTAAAAAAAAAACTGAGTGATGTTTGCACTCCAAGAAAAAACTAATCGTCTTTTATCAGAAATGACATCATTGTGACAGATTTATAAGCAGCAGCCACCTCGTTTCAGGAAATCTACATGTAATGCCATTGTAACACAGGGACTAGGTGCCGTTTTCAGTGTTGTTAGGTCGGCAAGCCATGAAAAATGTCTCCTGTTAAGCGCAACAGTGTGTCCTTTCTCTCCGTGTCCTTTACTGACCTGCAAATAACTAAGAATTTGGGAGTTTTACATGTGGTTTTGAGGTAGCAGGTTTGCTGTTTCACTTCCAGTGGGTAGTGTCAGCCCATTGTTTTCAAAACTCCTTCTTCTTTATGGTTTTAGTTTGGAGGAAAAATGGGAATATTTCATGTAAGTTCAGCAGTTTATAATAACAAGAACAAGGAATGTGCATATCAAGCTGTTGAATCAACTATGAACAACAGAGACGGTACATTCTGCAGTTGTTTCAGCATAGAAATAACTCCAGTGTAACTAGGGAGACCTCTAATACCTCAGCTTATGAGATGAAAGGCAGAGTCATTATGAAAAAAGTAATAACAATGAATAACTTTAAGCATAAACAAATGTTTTCAACATACACTTCTAAAGCAGTGGTTTTTAACCTTTTCTGAGGTACCGAACCCACCAGTTTCATATGCGCATTCACTGAACCCTTCTTTAGTGATGAATAAAATATGATTTTTTGTTTTTTTCCAAATTCAAGACATAGGTATATGATTTTTTTATTTTTTTTTACTGGTGCACAAAATGAGCCCTGCATGAATATCACCTTGCTCAATGAACCAAACCAACACGGTGCATGAACTCACAACAAGTTGCGGTACTACTTTATTCTGGCCCCTAAAAACTATTTCAGCCCCATAAAAGAATTTCAGCTCCAAAAAAAATATTCTACTATGTTACTAATTAAAAATAAATTTGGATTTTTGGAGGAATACAGCATTGAACAAATTACATACCTGCAAATCAGTGTGACTTCTGCTGTTGTTTTTGGGAGACCAGCTCAGACGTGTGTGGCTTCACCTTGGCAAGTGCTACTCTCATGTCATCTTCACAGCAAAGTCTGTTCCTTTTCTTCTATTTTTGCTCGACATATTTAGTATGGATTAAAATATTAAGAAATAAACCACACGACAGACAACTATGACAGCCCTTGACTACTGTGCGCACTAAATTCCCCGCAGCACTCACTGGCCAAGCAATGTAATGTGGTCCTCTGCAGCAAGTGATGACCAAGATGTCATCACTACTTTACGCAAGTGTGTCTTTACTTCCGCGGCAGAGGCTCCGCCGAATCCCTGAGACCGACTCATCGAACCCCTGGGGTTCGATAGGACCCAGGTTAAGAACCACTGATCTAAAACTACTTCTATGAACACCAGGTTATACAAAAATAAATAGCTTTAACACCAGGTATTGTTCACTTGTTAAAAAGAAACTCCTGTCAAAGTTTGCTTCATTTGCCATGTTGAAGGAATGTTTCTCACTTCCGGATGCAGAATTTTTCAGATATTTTCAAATTAGAAATTTTGTTCGAATTAACATCTTGAATTTCTTCTGGAAGAAAAAAAACAAAAAAGATATGCAAGCTGCTGTTGGGCTTTCCAGAATAAAAAGTATCAAGTTCAAGCTTTGCTGACATCTTTGCAGAGCAAATTAACTTTGCCACAAACTCCATGAGGGCTGCGTGGGAGGAGGAGCTGGGTTTGCAGATTAGGAGTGAGATCTGGGAGATCTTGGGAGGATTTGGTCATGCTCTATTGATGTAAAGCACCAGTTAATTCTGTTCAAAGTGTTTCATAGACTCCACTATTCTAAGATGAAACTGTACAGAATGTTCCCCTCAATATCTTCTAAATGTGATAAATGCAAGTCGGCTGATGGCTCCCTGTCACGTCTGTTCTGGTCATGAACCGAACTCTTCCAGTATTGGTGTGACATTTCCAACTTGTTCTCTGAAGTGTATAGGTGCACGTTGGTTCCGTGTCTTTATAGAAAGGTAGTACCGTCCTAAAATGTAAATGGTAATCAGTGCAGTTTAACCAGTTATAATTGCACTGACTTGTTTTTATTTTATTTGTAGTTATTGTACGTTTTTATTTGCGTTATTGTCATATTGCTAAGAGTATATTTTTCCTTATACAGTAATTTGCTAAATACAGATATGCTTTATACTCTTGTGTATAATTCATGTATGCTGTATTTTGAAAACTTAATAAATATATAAAAGAGAAAAACTTCTGTCGATTACATCGAGTTTTTTTCTTACACAGCAACAGTATTAATGTATGCTAGGTCTATTACGTAGTTATACTGGGGAATTGGAGACAGGCACGATATTAGTGTCTATCAATTTTTCATTGCAGGTGTAAAAGCACACACCCACTCACTAAAGCTATGTGAGTATATATAGCATCTAATGTTTTATTTATTAGAGGACAAGTCCAAACACTTTGCACTGCTCATTTCTGTGCAGAGTGTAAAAGGTGTCATGGTTAACCAGCATGCTGATTGACCTGGATGCCATAGTCGACATCAGCAACATTTATGAAAACCGAAACATCTATTGTACATTTTCACGCTGGTGCAGTGTCATGTGCTTATGCTTGTGTGCTTAAAACAGAGTAGAAGTTTGACTTGGTGTCACTAAATACTATTTTTAGTTTCTGTAGATTCACACTTTATGAGAATAAAGAGCGAGTTCGACGCTGTTAAGAGCCACGCTCACTTTGTGTCACAAATAATGTTTACAAAAAAAACAACAAAAAAAACAAGAAGAAATGCAGCATCAGATAAAAAGGAGAGAAACAGATAACATGTCACGGTTTGGATTTTCAAAAGTTCATAAGGGTGAACACACCAAAGGAGAAATCATTCTTATAAACTTGCTGTGGTACAAATACAAGTTTTAAATCCCAGTTCACTTTAAAATCAAAATGGATGAACCAGCATAATGCTGTGTTGTTGTGTCTGGAGGTAGATAGTCTCATCAGAAATAAAACTTAATTTGTTAATTTTCTAGGTGTAACCTTTTCACTTTGGCTCTTGATCAAAAACTTTTGGATTCTTTTTTTTAATCTATTGTTTTCTACTAGGAAGCGTTTGAGCAAAGCGAGGGCAAGTTAGGGGAAAGGAAGCTTCAGGCCTAAAAAGCAACCAGATAAATTTGAGTGTCTTCAGATCAAACTGTGGTTCATCATTTAACACCATCTTTAAATAGCAACAACAACAAAAAAAAAACAATTAAAGAACAAAAAAAAAAAAGATTTCTTCTGAAAATGGTCAGATGATTAAGTAAAACAATAAAGGCAGCCAAATTCTGAAAAACTGATAAAAACACTTTGAAAGACTTCAAGTACAGGTTCTTGGAAGCTTCATTTAAACAAATGAGCGATAACTCAACACTTTTCCAATAACCCAACGGAATTAATAATAGTTAACTCAAATTCTACAAATTAACACAATAGCACTCATTTTACCTTCAGAATATAAATAATGCTGAACCAGTGACATTCTGGGAAGAAGAAAAAAAAACATACAACTTAAAGATTAAACATAAAAAAACCCATTTAAAATATGGAACTCAACATACTTCCTCAGTGTAACTAACCCGAACAAAGCCTGCAGGAGGTGATGTTGACTAAGTATGAAACTTCCTAACACGCAGTCTCAAACTAAACTATTAATACAGCAAACACTTGTTTTCGAAAACATCTGTACAAGGGAGCGTAGGTTGGTCATTGTTTGTGTTTTTCAGTCACTGAAATAGATGAGTCCACCACAACTTTCAAAAACACAATAAAGCCTTAAAGATGTAAAAAAATAAAAGAGAAAAAGGCTTTTCAGGCGATTGGGTGAGTGACACAAGTCTTCCACACATTTCAACTCAAGTAAAAACCAACAACTAAAACCTAAAATGCTGAATTTTAGATTTTTAAAGGTTGGACTAGTTAAGGCTTTATATTTAACTAACATTAAGGGGCTTTAATTGCCCCTACTTACTGCTTTAATTGCATAGCATACATGCTCACTGCATGTTATGCATACGGTGCTCCTCAAAAGTTTACATACCCCTTCTAAAATGTCAGGGATTTTTTTAACAAAGTGGTGCCTTGGTCATGCTGGATTTGTTTTCCTCATATGGAACTGAGGATTTTTTGGATAAGGTCGTAAATACTTCAAAACAAAGTTTGGGTTCAAAAACCCTTCAGTCGTCCACTAGATGCTAATTGATGGTTTCATTTTCCTGCATCATAGTGACTCCAAGTATGCATCTAAAAATCAACAAAATAACGACATAGGAAAATTCAGCTGTGAAATGGATATTTCTCAAAGCAAAGAAATATCCAAAAATGTCGTAAAAATAGATTTTACTGGTGTAGCGAAAAAGTTATTCCACTGCATTTCTCTACAAAAAACTTGCATCAGCTCTAAAGACGAGACATGGGGTTTTCTATATAATTGTTTTCAAATATAAAAATGGCACATGAAATGCTTTGCTCACTGGAATCTGAATCAGACCTAAACGTAGAGCTGCTTATGATGCACAACAGCAGTGGGAAGAAAAGTAACCAAAAGGGAACCCTAATGTTGGCAGCTGAAGTACTAAAATAAATGTGTAGTGTTGGAAAACTAAGTCAAATTATTCACTGCAAATTCTCATGTTTTCACTAAAAACAATAAAGTTCAGCTTAACTAGTAAAAATAGTGTCCATCAGTATGGTAGTGGAAAACTGTTTACATAATGCAGTTCTGGTTCACTGACTTCCTTCTTAAATAAACAACATCCTTCAGTTATTAATGTGGAGTTGGAGGCCAAACCAATCACAGGCTACATTAGCACTTTAAGGCACAAAGTCAGGATTCTCAGGTGACAGCCGTGATGTCACAGTCATAAAGAGGATGTTTGACCCAGAGGGGATGGAAATCCTTTTTCTTTTTGGCGTGGGATAGAGAGTGTTAGGAGGAAACATACATCAATAAGGTTTAGTTCAGGGGTCACCAACTCCAGTCCTCGAGGGCTACCATCCTGCAACTTTTAGATTCACCTCTGCTCCAAAACGTCTCACCAGCATTCATTCCTCTCTGCAATAGGCTGGAAACGAGCAGTTTATTTGATCCAGGTATTTGACGCATCTAAAAGTTACAGGGTGGTAGCCCTCGAGGACTGGAGTTGGTAACCCCTGGTTTAGTTGAACTTAAATATCGGGCTTTTCTGTTCCTTGACAATCAGGGTTACTTTGGCAACAATATCCTTGGCTTTGATTTGATGATTGGAGGGCTAGTTCTGGTTAGTTCCCATTTAAATGCCAAGCGTCGAGCAGCTTATCTGTTGAAGAAGCAGGAAGTGATGAGACACAAAATATTCCATGAAGCCTCAGATAGCAGCACAGTTGCCATGCACCCTCTGACCAGCGGGCAAGGTGGGTGGAGTGTTTTGCTAAAGGACACAACGACAGAGGCAGGAATCGAGTCAGCAAGCCAGCATCCTGTTGTTTCAATCTCTGCCAAAGATGGTCCTAAAACAGACAATTCACACATCTGGTTAGCCTAAAATTAAATCTCCAAAAGATTTGTGAGAAATGGGGGAGAAGGTGGGCTATTGTTAAAAACAAAGTTGTTGCATTACACAAAATAAAAGAAAGAACAACTCAATAAATTATACATAGAATACACACATTAAAACGTATTTTAAAACACACACATTTACATGTAAAAACTACAAAAAGAAGAAAATGCATTGCAGTGGCATGACTTACAAGCTTAAGTTTTAGTATTTGCTTGGACGTATTAGGATCCATCTCTTTCCCTCTGGTGTTATAGTGCAGCATTTTCATTTGCTGCTTCGTCTGGTGAGGATGTTCGCACTGCGTCTCTGTCAGGCCTTAGAAACCTGACAAGTAAAAACAAGACATAACTTGAGCAGGATGAATTTAAAATGGCATCAGAGTTAATGGTTAAAGGCTGTTGTAGCTTTTACCTCGGAAGTTCAAAACATCCACGTTTGTGCAGAAATGCAGCAAAGCCAGCTGCCACAATGATCAGAAGAAGAATACTAAAAAAAATCCAGCCAGTTATGGAGCTTGTTACTGTTAAACAAGACACAAACGCAAAACGTTAATTAAAAACTTGATTTTGTTTGACAAACTGGTAAAATGTCGTATATGATTTACATAACTCTCACAGAGCTCAACATGTAGCTTCTACTAGAACTTAAAAACAAGAACTGCAGCAAACCAGAATATGTCTGGTGCCCAAAGAGCCAAAGACTACAGTGCAAGAGAGGGGATAGAAGCCGATAGCCTATGTTTTTGCCTGACTAAAATATGCAGTGGCTTGGCAAGTATATGCAGTTGAGGTAGCGTCTCCTCTGACATATTATTCAACTTGCACAAAAATTGTGTTCAAGAAACTGATGTCATTGTTTAAAAAGTTTCCTCCCCTCTGAACTCAACATGCCTCCAATTAACCACATAAAACCTGTTGGAATGGGATGTTGATGACAACTTGCATGTTTCCTGAAGCACTGCAGTCTGTTGAAAATGCGTGTCGTTCTCCAATTTCTACTCTTTAAAAAAAGTAAGAAAGAAAACCTGTGCTGTTTAGTTGAAATATTTAATGAAAGTAAATCAGATTAAATGACTGGTTGCATCAGGCTGCTGACAGAAATGTTTGATCTGATAAACTATTTCCATGTCTTCAAATGAATATTTGAAGACATGGAAATATTCATCTGTATGTTTTGGTTTTGTTTTTCACCACTTTTGGATTTACTGGTTGATTATGAGTCCCTGGGTGGTGCTCATAACATGCCATGAAAGGCCACACAGATGGAAATCCAGACCCAGGCTGATTACATAACAGGGCTCCTGACAAAGTTTACTAGAGTGCACACTTTGTTTTACTAAAACCTAAATTATATTGTGATTTTACAAGATAGACCAACACAAATTAGAGCACAATTGCAAAGGAAAGGGGGGGAAAAACAACAAATGTTTTTACATAAAAAGTTTATTTCAACAAACTACCTTCAGAAGCAACCCAATTAGTTAATAATATTTAGCCTCCTGTATCTAATACAGAAAAATCATTTGGATGTTTCTCTGAGCTTTTTAAAGTACTGCCAAAGATAAGTCTGAGCTGTCATTCCAGCACAAGAATCACATAAACTGTTTCATTCAACATCTGGTTGTGTAGCTTCTCTTCTAGCATAATGCTATATTTAACTTCAGGGCCGTTTCACAGTCTACACTTCCGCACAAACTCATCAAAACAAAACTTAAAACAGGAGTGGCCGTGCTGACCCCATCCTTCTGCCTTGCATAGTAGCCATTTATATAAGCAGAATTTTTCATCCTGTAACAAGACCAAATCCTTTCAACTACAAAGATCTCACAGTTGGAATGGACACAGTCCCCCGCACCATTAAGCACCAAAAACATGTCAGCCTCTCGCACACAGAATTGGGTAATTATTGGGGTTTTTTCTCAGAAGTTAAGCTCCCGGTCAAAGAGTCCACAGGTCCAAAAACATACTGATAATAGCTTCAGGCTTCAAAGAGAAACACACAAATTTTGGAGTTTGTGTAATACAATGCTTTCCCGTGTTGATGTTAGTCTGCAGAATAGAAAGCTTGGCAGTGCACAGCACTCTGCACATAAACCTTTTAGTTTAAACCCTGTCAAGCTGCTGATGAAATGATGGTTTTGTTTCCTGTCAGAAGGGCAAAAACCTCCAAATACAACAATCTGCAGCAGTGAAGGAAGGACAGAAACTCAGCAGATAGGAAAAAACAACCCCATTGATTTTTGTCCTGATGAAGGACTTTCAGCCTGCAGGCGCAGCAGAATTTCCTGTCCCATAGTAACACCCTTTTTCTGTAGAAAACAAGTTAGCAAGTTTGCTGTGACCTAAACTGTATTTTTTTTTCTTTTTTTTCCAGTTGGAACTGCAACCAGTCAATGTTGTTGACTGAAATAGGTTTGATAATAAAATATACTGCCTGGAATATGTGAGTCTGTGGCTTGCATAAGTACTTTCAGACTTCTTTAGTTTGTTCTATTCCATAAAAACATTTAAATGGTTTCATTTGGATCTTATGCAAGACGTGTTTCACAAGGTTATTATGCAGTAAATAGCGGTAGAGAATGTCTCCTCGTTACTCTCATTTATTATTGCTTTGTTACTGGAGAACCATCTTCTCTATATTGAAAAAAACATTGCAGTCAAGTTTGAGCACTTATGTGCTCGGGGTACGCTCGAAATTACAAAATAAAGACTGAGGATCCTGAAGGATTTAGTCATCTCAACAGCAAAAGAAAAGAATGGAAGATTTTAAGACATTTTGTCTGCAATGAGCGAAAGACATTTGAAATAGCGTTTGGTTGTCAATGCGTAAGTGCAGTTAATGGTAGAAAACTGTGCGGCTAGCATGAACGGAGACGCAGTCAGTAAATTACATACAGCATTCCCTTCACTACTAATTACATGCAATCAAGTTTCTTCAACGTCGACTGAAGGGTTTTACTGCACACAAGTGAAACTCAAAGCTCAAGTTACCGAGCGATCAAGTATTGGTGTAAAAGTGGGCTGAATACAAATTCACAAGACATGATTCGGATTTTAATTTGTAGGGAAAAATATGGTTGTAACTTTCTCAAAATCAAAAATGGTTTCAGTAGTATCAGTAGATTTTTTTTTTATGCACACTCACAGTTTGTTGGAACCTTTGCAATAAAATACGGAAGTTCAACAAACTTATCATGACAGCTGATTAAAGCCATAATGTTAAACCGTCTACTGGGACTGAAGGGGATTAGTTTCATAACGGCCTTTTGTTCCTCCAGAAGCTGGTTTATCACGTGTCTTTACACAGGGGCATAAAGGGGAAATATACTGGGTTATGTCCATTAAATGTGTCATAACCTGGAGCACACGATGTATTCCAGGTGATGGATTTATTATTTCCTTTATTTTTACTTCTCCCCTACCAGAAGATATGCTGGTGTACAAAGTGACCTTTGTTTCGAGTACTATTTGCAGACACAGATAAGCTGTCTGCGAGTGAAACCAAAATACACCGACCACTGAAACAACCCCAGTTCAAACAAGCCACTGCACAAAATACTACAAATTTAGAGAAGTTGAGGAGAACATTGATTATTAAAGAACAAAATATTCACATCCCCAAATACTTGCTTGAAAATGTACAGAAAATACTTCCCCAGAAAGCATAAATAGCTTATTTAAAACAGGTCAAAGACAAATTATCACCTGAGAAATCCACGTAGAGGAAACTCTGGTAACTTCCGTATTTGTTATTTGCGTCACACTGGTAGACACCAGCCAGGTCTTGAGATTCCTTCACAAATGTCAGCGAGGCCCCCTGAGCCAAGATTGATGGAGACAGAACGTCGCCTGACCTGCGAGAAAAAGTCAAGATAACGTTTTAGCACACAGAGGAGTTACACACATAATACCGCGTCATGGTAAATGACAGGTCACAAAGGAATGACGGTTCAGGATAATAAATTAAATTAAATTACTTACATTAACCTAGGAAAACGCCCACTGTGGGCGTTTACTCTAGGAAACTGTAACTGTCTTGATCACACAGAAAACTTAACTACGCCCATGTTTACCACCAGGCATGGGTGGGTTTGTTATACCCACATTTATTCTGTGT